ATCAAATTTTTATCATAATTTAAAAAATCTTTTACCAACAATACCAACGGTAAGTGTATTTTTGAATAATTTTTTCGCACTATTTCCACCTCAAATTACATAATTTTCCGCTATTTCTACCCTAATAAAAAAAATATTTATCGATTTTTTTTTATTCCCCAAGATCATCATGTCGTCTCCTTTTCCCACTGTAATTTATTTACCAGCCAAACGACAAACAGTTTTTCCACTGAATCGTTTAATAATAAAGTTGTGCACCGTACTAAAGTGTCGACCATATTTTTTTTTCCTCGAATAAAATAACAATATTTAATAATAATTTATGAGATTTCTCGCGTTCCAAACGTAGAAAAGTGAATAATAATAAAAGTTGAAGCTTTTTTGCTGCTATTTTTTATTCTGCATATAATCCAAATATGGTAGATATACAGAGAGAGAGAAAACATTATGACAGGAATTATGGCAGTGAAGCCGACTTTAGTGTTGAAAAGCATTTTTCTGCAGAACAATTCAAACACAAACGAACGATTATTTTCTTTGGTTGCATAATAATAAAAATATTGTAATAATAATGTTTTTTTCTCTCTCTCTCTCTCCTGGCTGGTTTTAATTAATAAATAATATTAAACACATTCAGAAGAAGAATCCATATAAAAAACTAAAGCAAAATCCATATTTGAGTGAAAATAGTGTAAAATATGAAGAATATATGTGTAGAAATAGGAAAAATTTCCAGCAAAATAAAAGTTTTTCCAGTGTTGAAATTAACATTTTATTTTTGCAAGCGAGAAAAGAATCCAATAATAATAAAAATCTTTTGTTATTTCGAATCGAATTTCATCATCATTGGATTCATCAGTGTTTATTTGGATAGATTTTTTTTTTATAATCATCATCATCAAACACCCACCCCCGTATCATTCAGTGTTAAAATAACTAATTTTAATAATAATAATAATAATGATTTTAATCAACGGGCAAACAACAACAACGACGATTATAATTGAAAATGATAACACGAACCAAGCAAAAGTAATAATGAAATTGAAATGAAATAATAATAAAAAAAAATCGAGCAAAGGAACATTGATTGGGAAACATTTTTTTGCCTATTTACACACAATGTGCTATAAATATCTTTTTCCTTTCGTTCGTTTCGCTTTTTCGTTTCGCGATTTTTATTACCGTCGTCCTCGTTTGTTTGGCGTGTTAATTTGATGAAATTTCTTTTGCCTTGTGTAAATCATCATCATCATCGTTATTATTTACCAAGCGAATGAAATAAAATGAATGAAAAAAAAAACAGAGAAAGGAAAGGAAAGGGTTGAAAACAGAGAGAGAGAGAGACAGAGAGAAATTCTCGCTTCAAATGATTATAATTACCTTTTTTTTCATAAATGCATGATTTTCTTATTCATTTTTTTAACCCGATCGTCGCAATCGATTGATTAGAAACTAATTTTTTTATCGTTTGTTTTTTCCATCATTTTTCTCAATTTATGTGTAATAAAAAAAAAAGAAATTATGGTATCAACATATATTACCATCAATGGTTGGTGAATTGGAAAGTCCGGAAGTATTAGCAGCAGCATTACAACCAATAATCTATATGATTAATCGTTCAACGATGGAACAATTTCAACAATATATTCTACCATTTATTAAGAATATATTTCAGATGCCAAAATCTGTTCAGGTAAATATCAAAAAAAAAAAAAAAAAATTGCTATTTCGCTCTTGCTCATTTTTCGAATGTTTACTCGGGGATTTTTTTTTTTAAAGCAAAATTCTGCTGTCTTAGTGTGCAATTCAATTGCTCCATCCATTGCTTATTGATCTCCCTGTTTGTTTTATTTTGTTTTGATCAAAAGTTTTCATTGGAATTTCCATTGTTCGTTTTTATTGTTCATTTTGCAAAATTTCTGAACCAAAAACTGAACTGAATTCATTTCATTTCAATTCAAATAGGATTCAATAGATGTTTGTTTGACGACAATGATGAATGTTGCTGGCTGTCGTCAAACTCACCAAGACAAAAACCTACAGAAAAACATCGGGTTTTTTTTCTTCTTCTTCTTTTGAAATGAAAAAAAAAATTATGATAATTTTTCATCATCATAGCAGAGAAATTCAAATTTTCTTCTTTGAAATTTTCATCAATTTTTCATCCATTTTCCATTCATCAATGAATAAAGATTATTATTATGATGATGCTTGCATCAATGACGTCAACCCTTGATGATGATGATGGTTCTTAATTCTCAAGAGTCATATAATTCTTGTTCGTCTTATTCTTGTTGTTGTTGTTGTTGTTATCAAAGATGAAATGAAAGGGAGAAAAGACGAAGAATTTCATGTTTGTTTGTTTGTTTGATTAGTGAGATGAGAATCTTCATTTTACAATATTTTTTTTTCTCCCACTCGACCTAAAACCTAGAATTTTTTCTCTCCACCTTTTTGATGTTCAAAAAGAAAAAAGAAAAATTCTTATTAAGTTTGCTTTGAATGTTTTTCAAGATTCTTTTTAAAAAAAAATTCTTTAAAGAATCATCATCAAATGAGAATCAGGGAATAATGTAAATCAAAAAATTACAGAAAGAGAAAAAACATTGGCAGAAAGAAAATTTGAAAATCAGAATTTTCGATTCTTTGCTCTGTGTTTGAATGATTTTTTTTATAATCATCATCAGGGTTATTTACTTACTTACTTAGTTACTTACTTAGTCAGTCAGCCAGTCAAACAAGTCAAACATTAAAATTGTTTCATTTCGTTTTTTTAAACCTACTTTTTTTTCTCTGTTTGTTTACTTCGTTATTCTGCATGGATTTTTATTGAATTTTCGTTTCACTCACTCACTCACACAGACAGACAGACAGACAGACTGACTGACTGAGTTATTTACTTTCATTTTTTGCTTCTTGAACTTATGAAATGTAATGAAGAAACAAAAAAACCATAAGTCAGTTAAATTCTCATTTTTTTTAACCGAAACAGAAAACAAAAACCAAAAACCAGCAGAAAAATGCCATTAAAAAAGAATTTATTATTGGTGTGTGGTGTGTGTGTTTAAATAGTGTGGGTAACTCGAACCCGAAACGGTAGTGGGTAGAAATAGAATCGAATGCTTAAAATCGAATGTTTAGAACAGAGTAATAGAATATCATCATCGGGAGAAATCGATAAAAAAATTGCTGAAAGTGACAGTTTTTTTCTTGTTCTTCGATTCATTTGTTCAGCAAAAAATGAAAATGTTTTCTTGACTGACTGAAAATGACAGATTTTGTTAAAAGTTTTCAAAAAATAATCGATTGATTTTTCTCTTTTCTCCGTTGTTTTGGTTGTTTTTTCTTCTCTCCAATAAAATATTCAAAAATTGAAATTTTTTCACCATTATGGATCGCCATCAACCCGAAAAAACGGAACTGAATCCGAAATGAAAAAAAAGGCCACCGTAACATTGTTGGAAAATATTGATATTTTAATGTTGAAAACATGTTCCAGCAATGATGATGATAATTTATTATTTCGTCAGGAAATAGTACCGATGATTTGTAATGCTTTTGATTCAAGTACACCACAAATTCAGGTATGTTTGATGTTTTTTTTAAAAAAAAAATTTCCATATTTTGACACATTTATCTGGTGATTTAAATCAATCGAATAAATAATTTATTTCCATCATCATCATCATCAAAGTTGCTTGAGGGCCAAACATTATTTTGGACTTTTTTCCAAGTGCAAAAAACGATTCATTTCATTTCATTTCATTTTGATCAGCTATTTCGACTCAAACTTACCAAATCTATTATTATAATTAAAGTTATAAAGTAATTAAGATACCTATCGAAACAAAAAAAAGATCAAAATAATGACGTTGTCGACCTAGAAAAACAAAAAACAAAAAAAAAACATCAATTAGTAAAAGTTAGTAATAGAATCGATAGATCAATTCAATCGATCGATCGAATCGAATCGAGAGAGTTTCCATCGAATTTCCAATTAATCATTGTTGTTGTTGTTGTTAGACATTTCTACTTCTATTTCAACTTTTTCTTTTTCCTTTCCATTCTTAGAATCGATTGATTGCTGTCATAATAGGAAAACAAAGAAAAACTAATATCTCATTAGTGTTATCGAGAAATATTAATTTGATTTTCTTCTTTTTGTTTTTTCTTTTTCTCCGACTTGTCTTTTTTTGTTTTGGATGTCATCATCATTATTCCATGGTCATCATCATTACATGGGCGTTATTATTTTGGTTTTGGTCCGGCAATGTTGCATTCCTTAAAAAAAATTGATTTTTCGAATCTATTTCAACCTTTTCGATGTGATCATTCACTATTTCAACTTTTGGTGATGATGTTTTTCGGACGAATTCCGTTACTGATAAAAAAAGTCGGCAGCAATGTCTGCATTATCACAAGTGATTGATCATCTAGATGATATTACTATTCGACGTATGATTTTACCAAAAACTAAACAACTATTTGATATTAATGCCGATCCAAAGGTATGTTTATTCTATTTTTTTTGAATATAAACCAAAATTCCAAACCAAGGTAGCCCGATTATTGATCTTTTTTTCCTGATTTTTTTCTTTTCTTTTTTCGCTGATATTGATATTGATTCACTCAACCTTGGCTACAAAAAAAAAATCATTTATTTTGAAACTTTCTATTTTCTGGCTTCAAACAAAATCATCATCATTTAAAACGAACAAAATTGATCGATTTTCATTTCGACGAAAAACGGAAATTCCTAAAAATACCTTAAAAAAATTTTGTTTTTGTTTGATTCACTCAGATTCAAATCAATATATTGATCTGTATTGAAAAAGTTATAGAAAATTTAGACAAATCCGATATATTGGATGATGTATTACCAATGATAATGCATGCCCGTATACAAGATGTTTCTGTATTGATTATAGTGATAAGTAAGTATTCATTCATTCATCATTTTTTCCCTCTCTCTCTCTCTCTCTCTCTCTCTCTTGATAATAATTTTCACTTTTTTTTTCTGTTTTTTGTTTTGTTTGTTTGTTTGGACAATCATAATAGACATATGTAAACTAATGATGATGGATACAAAAAAATATGGTATTACAGTTAATTTATTATCAACAAAAATTATGCCCGCATTAATACCAGCAATGGCTAATGTTAATTTAAATCTTGATGAAGTAATTATAATNAAAATTCTGGAAAAATTCTCTCTCTCTCTCTCTCTCTCTCTCTCTCTCTCTTGATAATAATTTTCACTTTTTTTCTGCTTTTTGTTTGTTTGTTTATTTGGACATCATAATAGACATATGTAAACTAATGATGATGGATACAAAAAAATATGGTATTACAGTTAATTTATTGGCAACAAAAATTATGCCCGCATTAATACCAGCAATGGCTAATGTTAATTTAAATCTTGATGAAGTAATTATAATCCAGTTTGTGTTCTTTTGATTGATTAATTAATTAATTAATTGTTTTTTTCCATTTTTTAATTATCATAGTTCAATGATCTAATCAGTTTGTTTAATGAAATGTTAACATATATTGGTAAATGTCAACGAAATAAATTAATATTAGAAGCTAATATTAAAAATCAAAATCAAATGACAATTAAAATTCCTGAAATGTAAGTTTTGTTTTGGTTTTTTTCTATTATTTTTATTTTTATTTTTAGATTGCATGTACATTATCATTATAATGTTCTAATGTAGAAAATTGGTTGACTTTAGTTTTTTTTTCATGTTTATCGATTTTTATATTTATCGTTTTCTTTTCTTTTTTTTTCTCTATGTTGCACTTATGTTTTCCGGTTTATTTGATGAAAACAATATAATTTTTTTTTTTCGTTATTCAGTACTGAATCATTGAAAGATAATCATTCGAATCATGTTCATCATCAATCAAGACAAACATCATCATATTCACCAAATCGTCCACCATCATTACGTTTAGATTCAAGACGTACATCAATAAGTATGGATGATGTTGTTCGTCGTGCTTCCTTAACAGCATCAGCTGCTTCCAGTCCAGATTCAAATCTATTACGTGTACAGGCAAATTTACCTGGTCGTCGTCATTCAGATAATACAATAATACCGCCAAGAATTTTAGTTGCACCATCAACACCAACAACTACATCATTTTCATTATCTCGTGCATCAAGTAAAAATAATCTAAATTCACGTCGTCATTCATCGATTGTTGGATTGAAAGAGATAAAAGATGCTAAAAATTTTATTCCAAATATACCAAAGGCAAGTTCTATTGATTATTTCTTCTTCCATTATTTCAATTAAAAGAATCGTTCATTCATTCATTTATTTGATCATTCATTATTCTAATCATGTATTCTATTCTATTCTTTTATTCTATTTTTTCTTTTGTTGTTTTTTTTTCATTCTTCAAATTTTTCTTTTTGTTGTTGGTGTCCTTCATTTTTTTCGGAATATCATTACCATTACTAACTGATTGTTCTATGTGTGTTGTGTTAAAACAGATTTCTCATAATATATCCAATAATCTTGGTATTGAATCATTTTTATCAAGTCGTTCAGGCAGTAGTCGTCGATATTCAGCTGTACCAACATTTGATAAACTTAATTTTTCAACATCATCATCATCACATCATAAAAATACATCATCAAATCTATTACAAACTATTGGTACTGGTGTAGTAAGTGTATTCTATTTATTTTTTTCGTTTTTGTCCTTCAAAAATGGACATCATGAATGATAATGTAATTCAATTGAAACTTTTTCCTTTTTTCTTCTTTACCTCTTCTAACAATAGCAACAACTATTCAAATGAGAAAATGCTTCTTGTTTTTTCTTTTCAATAACTATGGTCCATCATCATCATCATCATCACTATTCATACCGGCGGCCACTCAATCATTTCATTTCCAATCCATTCATCATCATCTTTATACATATCACGATTCTATAATATAATAATAATAGGGAAAAATAAAAGAAAAGAATCAATTTTTTCATTCATTCATCAGAAAAAAATCTATATTTATTTATACTTACGCACACATATTTTATGCAAAAAAAAAATTCCGAATTGAATCAAACAACAGCTCACAAATACTATTTCTTCTCTTTGCAAAACACCAAATGTCAAAATTGTTGTATACGATAAACGATGATGATGACGGTGATATTATTATTGTGGTGGTGGTGGTGGCCAAATCTTTTATCTCAGCAATGAAAATATTCAAATGAAAAAACTTTTTCTGTTTTTGGTGTGTGTGAAAAAAAAGTGGAATATCAAAATTGCGATAAACGAAAAAAAAAATTTAATGATCTTCACTTGTATTTGGGAAGAGAACAGAAAAAGTGATATGTGTTGTTTATTGATTGAATTGAATACTCAAGTGATTCAATCATGTCATTGATTTGCTGATTTTCTCACTTTTGAAAGTTTTGAAAGCGAAAAAAAACTTTATTTCTTTTTTTTAAACAAACAAACAGCCGAGCCAATCAATCGATTCGATTTGATGCATTTGCCAAACAAACAAACAAACAAAAAAATCAATCAATATGGAATTTTTCATTTTTCATTTCACCGATATTATAGATTTATATTTATATTGTATGAATCCACCACTATTTTAATAAGAGTGTGTTCAAAAGTGAATAACAAAAAAATATTGCTCACAAACATATATATTTTTTTTCGGTTTCGTTTCGAAAAACCATTAATTAATTACACACTTACACTTTAATTTATCGAATCAATCAAAAGAAAACATGAACAATCAATCAATTTTTCCTGTTAAAATTCAATGGATAAAAAATATATCTATTACTCAAACACAAGACATTATATCATTATTATTACCTAATAATTTATACTTGGTTATCCAACAAAAATGATAAATATTTTTTTTTCTGTTGTTATTCGATTGTTATTTATTCGTTTTAAAAGATTTTTTGTTTTCGTTGTTGTTGTTAATATTGATTAATCGATTGAATAAGACACAAAAAAAGAACACTTTTATCAGAAAAACACTTTTTTTTCACGACAAACAAAAAGCTCAATTTATCAAACAAAAAAATCGCACTAAATTCATTCGAATTATATTTCATTCGACAAACAAAAATATCGATTTAATCGCGATAGTTAGGTTTTGTTTCGATAGTTTATTTTTTTTTTTGATTGTAAAATTTAACCAAAAAATTCAATGTTAATAACATTATTAATGATTTCAAAGAAAACTGTCAAATCAATTTTATTTTTTTCGTTGTCTCTTTCAGTTCGATTGATTTTTTTTTTGTTTCTTTTTTTAGAAAAATAAAATAGAAAATTTCAATTTTGAAAAAATCCTGGCGTTTTAGTTTCATTTTCAAACAATAGATGGCGACAAGCACCGCATGTTTTTCTCTGTGTTTTTCTATGACAGCAGTATATAAAAAGATCGAACGAAATCGATATTTGATCAACAATAAAAAAAAAAAAAATCCTCAATCAAATTGATATTGGTGATTTTGTTGTTGTTCATCAATTTCGTCTTTTTCATTATGGCTCAATTTCAACGTATTTCACGAAGTAAATGTTTTGATGGTTTTCAAGAAATTTATTCATTTTTTAGTAAAGAACTTCAATGTACAACACGGTTTTCGATTTATATTCCACCGAAAGTAAATCGAGAAAATCCTGCACCAGTTTTATATTGGCTTTCCGGATTAACATGTACCGAAGAAAATTTTATTATTAAATCTGGTTTTCAACGTTATGCAGCTGAACTTGATCTAGTGGTTGTTGGACCCGATACAAGTCCACGTGGTTGTAATATTGATGGTGAAGATAAAGATTATGATTTTGGTACGGGTGCTGGATTCTATGTGGATGCAACAACCGAAAAATATCGTGATCATTATCGAATGTATTCATATGTTGTACGGGAACTTCCAACGGTTATTGAAGAAAATTTCCCAGTTATTCCTGGATTACGTTCAATATCGGGTCATAGTATGGGTGGACATGGTGCATTGATTTGTGGACTGAAAAATCCTGGTCTTTATAAAAGTGTATCAGCATTTGCACCAATAAGTAATCCAATGGTTAGTCCTTGGGGACAAAAATGCTTCAAAGGTTATCTTGGTGAAGATAACCAAGAAGAATGGAAACATTGGGATGCAACTGAATTGATTTCTCAGTATAATGGACCAGATCTTCATCTTATGATCGATCAGGTAATGCTTAAATCACGATAAAGTTTTTTTTCTAATTTGTTATTTTTTTCTCTTTTGAAATAAAGGGTTCTGAAGATGAATATATGGATCATTTGTTTCCGGAAAATTTTGTCGAAGCATGCCGAAAGCATTCAATTCCATTAGATTATAATTACCGAAATGGTTATAATCATAGTTATTATTTTGTCGGTACATTTATTGGACAACATTTAAAAATGCATTCAGAAGTTTTGAAATCTTCGAAACAGCAGCAATAAGAACTGGCGAACCGATTCGAAGAAAACGATGCGAAAAAAATCAATCAAAAACCAAAAACTTTTATCAAAATTCTGATTTAATCTGGAAATTTAATTGATAATTTTTTACCGAAAAACAAAAACAAACAAATTTTCAACCAAGTTTTTTAGTTACCGAATAAAAAACAAATAAAACGTGACAAGAAAACAATTTTTTATGTTTGTTATAAATAAACAAATAGAAAAAAAATCGATTCATATTGATCATCATCATTGTTTATTGTCAACTTGGATTTTTTTTCTGTTTTTTTAACTAAATATTTTCTTTCAAGACTTTTTGGGTAAATTGGCTTTATTTACTTGAAATTAAGTTAAATCTGTGGATGGGATGTTGGTTCCAAGTCCATTCTGTCTGTCAAGTCAGTCGGCGGAAAGGTTGACAATTTCTTTTCTGGTTGTCTTTCTTTGGTTGTCTTTTCTGGTTGTTCCAATCCATATTTTTTTTGTCTTTTGGAAATTCATTTTTCGTTCGTTTGTTTGTTTACTTTTCATTTGCCAAAATTTTTATTATTTTTTTCTAGATTTTATTTAAGAAAGGAGAAAAACAAAAATCAATAATGAGATCGCTGTTGTTTTGAGGATGATGATGAGGATGACATGCAAGAACGATTTGCTGTTGTTGTTTCATCATCATCATCATTATCATCGTTCGTGCAAGTACGCGTTAATCATCAACTTTAAAATAAAATTCATTCATTTTTCTCGCTCTCTTGTCCCTTTAAAACATCGAAATCTGAATTTTAAAAAAAATTAATCAGCTTATGAAACATTAAACAGCCTATTTAATATTCTGTAAACGATATTCAAAAAATTTCTTCTTTTTGTTTTGGTTGAAATTCTGGATAAATTCTTCAAAAAAAAAATTTTCAAGGATTTTTTTTTTAATTCTATCCATCATTCATTCATTGAGAAACTATGAATGATCTTTGACATCACAAGGGTATGGTGAAACGAAAAAGATAAACGATTTTTACTTATAATAATTTATAAGCAAAACAAAAAAAAAAAAAAAAAAACAAAGCTAAGCTGAATTCAACCTCGACAAATTGACAACAACAATGATTCAAAAGATGTTCGCAAAAAAATAAAATACTGTAGCAAAAAAAAATACTGTTTCATCATCATCATCATTTATCAAATATTTATATTTTTTTCGTTGCAATGTTCAGATTTTCGCCAAAAAAAAAGAATAATAAAGAATAATAGTTGTGTGTGTATCGAACATTATTATTGCTTGAATATTGGCGACCGGGTTATGTATACTTTACTTTTCTTCATTGATGATATATCGTTTCATGAGAGAAAATCTTTCTTTTCCACAAATTCTACATGCAAATGAATCGAATGGATTCGAAATGATTGTCGAAACGAACAAATTGTTGTTGGAATAACAAGCCAAAAAATTGTCGTTTAATTTTATCATTTTCCTTTTTGGTCATGTGAAAACCTTTTGCATTTCCAGATATTCCAGTGAAATAAGTGAAAAGAAAAATGACTAAATAGATAGATTTGGATGGATGGATGGATTCAAAATCATTTATATTAGTTGTGTGTAAAAAGAAGAATCCAAAAAATGTTCACAAAGCCCATTTGGAAATTTTTGAATTATTATCATCATCGTCATCATCAATTTACACAATACTATTGCCAAATAACCATGTTCAATGAATATAAAAGAAGAATTTGTCTTCGTTTGTTTGAAATTGATGCTCATTGCTTACAAATCATTGAACACCCCCTCACTTCGCCACCATATCAATAAACCAAAATCAATCAAATTCATTCGAAACTGATAGAGTGAACTTTTTCTTCTTTTTTTCTTTTTCTTTCGTAGCAATTTTTCTTATTCACGCAATTCATTCGACAAACGGCGAAGACGGTAATTGATGGATTCAACAATTCATGTGAATATAATATGAATCGTTTGTTGGCCAATAATAATCGTCTCTGTCTTCGATTCGAGTGTAGTTTTTATCGGTGAAAAATTCTTTTTGTTCATTCGATCATCATCCAACATTTACTTGAAACATTTTTGTTCAGATAAATATATGTATTATTTACGAATTATGGCGACAATGTTGCCAATAACGAAATGAGCGAAAGTTTGACAAAACCTATTTTTTTGGGAGATTCAAAATACAGTTTAGTTTAGTTCGATCATCATTATATAATAATACAACCTATAATTGTCACAAATGAAAAACCGAATTGATCGAGGAAAAACGAATAAAATGTTCACAAAATTTACATTTGGAAACAAGAAGGAAGAAAAAAATTTTGCGTTCGAAAATCCTTGCATTCGATTTTATCGTTCGATTTCGATTCCGTTCATATAGTACATACAGGAAAAAGAATTCGAAAATGTTAAAATAGTGACAAATGAGCAAACAACAAATGAATCTCAATCTCGAACCAAAAACTAACTAACTAATTCATAAATTAATTAGTTAATAATTCATTTATTTAGCGTAATGAATGATTATATAATCAGGTTTCCTTTTCTGATTTTTTTTATCAAGATTCATTTTGTCCATCATCATCATAAACCGAATTACCCAGAGAGAAGACCGAAGAAGAAAATAAACCCGTCAAATTGAACAATTCAAGTCGAAATAGAATAGAACGAATAACAAACAATGAAGATTTCGAACAATAAGATATGTTCGAAAATCATAATAATGTTTTTTTTTCGAAATGAATAATTTAATCGAAAATCGTTATCGTCGGTTATTGTCGGTTATATTACAATAATCATCAGTCATCATAATAATAATCTGATCCCATTATTTTGCCATTCATTTTTGTCGGTATTATCAAATGAAGCCAAACAACGAAAAAAAACAACAGCAAGCTTGTTTTTCTCTGGATTATTTGTCTTTGTCAAAGTTTATATATCAAAACAACAACAACAGCGAAAAAAAATCTGTCCCTTGTTCTTTGTTATTGTTTGTTTGTAGTTCTGTTGCATAAACAAACGACAACGAAACACAGGTAATATTACAATCGAAAAAAAAATCTTGTTAATAATGTTTTTTGTTTTGTTTTGGTGTTGTATAATTTCATTTCATTAAAAATTATAGGAAAGGACAACAAAAATAAAAAACTTTACCCAAAAAAAAAAATCCAAATGAATGAATGACAAATAAACCCCAAAGAATAGCCCCAGAATATTCTGTAGCCAAAAAAACAAGCCAAGATAAATTATCTAAACCATCATGACATACGCCTTCGATATATTTTTTCATCTGAAAATGGTAGCCATCATCCATTGTTTTCTTCGTTTGCTTTAAGCTAATTTCTCCCTATCTCTTCTCCTTTCCATTGTTTTGGTCACAATGTTTTGTTAAATTAGTTTTTCTGTTGGTTTTGCTTATCGCCCATTAAAAAAAAGATCTCATCTCAATCGATTACATTTTGGATATTTTGGGATAACTTCTTTCAAACCAGAAAAGAAAAAAAGATTCGTTTAACAGCCCTGTGATCTGCTTGCTTGATGATGGTTGTTGTGGTTTTCTGCCCTTTTTTTTCTCGTTTGTCAAAATATAATTGGCCAAATGAATTGGCTCATTCTACACACCATAGATATTCTCATCGAACACCAGGGCTTGATTAGAAGAAAAAAAAATTGTCACAATTTCAAAGATGATAATAATGATGGTGGTAAAAATCAGGGTGTGGGGAATATCAGTGAAACAGAAATATTCCTGGTATGTTTATGTGATTCTCTGGAAAAAAACAGTAGTTTGGAGAGAACAACAATAAATTAAGTTAATTTGACAAATGATCCTAATGTGAGCATGAAATGAGAATCTCCAAATACGCGGGTGTAATATGTTTTTTTTTGGTTCGATAATAATGGTAATCGATGATGGAAATTATGCAAAAATCACGGGTAAAACAGTGATGACAACCAAACCAAGACAAACAAACAACAAGGCAAAATCATAATGACTGAGTGTTAATGTTGAGAGAGAGAAAAATTGAATTTTAGAAAAAACTTTTTTTTATCAATTTCCTTTCAATTTGAAATTGATCAGATTTTTTGTTTGGTTTTTGATTTTTGGCTATTTTTTCATCGATAGGATTTAACCCGTTGATCATTTGCACACAATTAATTCATCCAAATGAGAAAAGTGTTCAATCATTTTTTGATACCCAAAATCTAGCCTGGATTAACAGATCGAACAAATGAAGAACTTTTTCGTTCAAATCAATTTTCCCGCAGTTTTAATCCAACTGTTAATGATGATGATTTTTGGTGATTTTTTTGCAGAGAGAGAAAAAAATTGCCAAAATTATCTGTTTTGAACAGAATACAAATCTATTTACAGATTCTAAGACGAATGAAAAAAGCCAAAACAAAAATAATTTTCAGAAATTTTCTGATCAAAATGATGATGATGATAGAAAAACCAGACTGACAAAAACAGATGTAAATTCACTACTACTGTATTTGACTTTTTTGTTAAGAAAATTCTAAAGGCGGCCTTTTTTTCCAATATTAAAAATGTTGTTGATGACAATTAACACTTTTTGGTTGGTTGGTAGGGTAGTAGATTTTTTTTTGATTTGATAATAGTGTGCTAATGGCATTCTGCTGCTGTTGCTGAAATGTGTGAAAATGTTTCAATTTTTTGTTTTCAATAATGATAATTATTCTGTTGTAAATATAGACCAAGGGAGAGAAAATAAAGTTAAAAATGACCATTTGAATCAGTTGTTGTGAAGATAAATAAAAAACAGAAATGATCAATAACGAATTGTTTCTTGCGAACAAACTGAAAATCGGAGAAACTAATCGATATCATAAATGATGATGATGATGATTGATAAAAATCAATTCAATTCACTGTGTGTGTGTGACCATCAAGTATTTGACTTTTTTGAATGAAATTTTTCATTCATTCATTCATCGATTTTTATTTCTGGCCGATATATTTGTATCGAATAAAATAAAAAAACTTTTTTTCCTTGGTTATGTTTTCCATTGGTGGAAAAAAAATAAAATACCGCATCTAAATGAAAAGAAAGAAGAAAGAAAAGAAAAATCTCATCTTCGATATATAATTATTATCATCAACAATAAAAATAAAAAACTGATGATCGTCCATCCTGCTGTGGTTTTTTTTTTCGTTGTGAATCATTATCGACAAACACACATAAGAAAATTGGGTTTTTCATTCATTATTTTCTTGCCTTTTATTCAGATGATACAAACAGACAAACAAACAAGTAACTATAGCCGATGGCCGTTGTTTGCTTGGTTGTCGGTATCAATGATGTTAACCGAATTCAACCAAACACTCCCACACATTGAAATAAACAAACAACAACATAAAGGAGGAGGAATTCTCATTATCATTCTTATTTGTCACCAATAAAAGAATATATGGTGTGTACGGCTATGTGTTTTTACTAATTGGAATAAACATTCGAAAGAAAATACTAAATGTTTTTTTTTTTGGTTTCGTTTTGCCTGTCAAAACATTTTTCTTTTTACACGAAAAATGTGTGAAAACAAAAAAGAATTGGAAAAACTGGAATTTCGATCGAAGCGATAAACGAAGAAAAGAAACAATTTCAAACCACCCGTCATAAGCACACTTACCAGAAACAAAAACAACAAGAAAAAATTATCAAAAATTGAATTTTTTGTAAAACCAAAATTGATAAAATGATTTAATTTTTTTGTTCAAAATCCACCCACTTACTCTAAAAAAATACACCCAAGAAGAAGAATATTATCAGATTTTGGTAACTAGCGGTTAACTAACTAACTAAGTAAAGTAACAAAAAAGAAGAAAAAAGTAAACTTAACTGATTTGCGCAAGTGTAGTTTGAAATTATTATTATCATTAGTTTGAATGATGCGCCGCCAAAATGAATGAATATCAGAATAAGTTTTTTTTTCCAATAAGACATTCACATAGACATAATACTTGGTGTTGTTTCAATGTTTCGAAACCATTCTCAGCAGCCCAAGCAGATTTTTGAAACAAAAAAAATGTTTAAAGTTTCTTTCTTCCACGATCAGACACGGATATTATTCTGATCAGACCGACAGGACCAATCAAATTATTGAAACAAAAAATCAAAACAAAAATTTTTCTGTTGTTGTTTTCGTAAATCTGTAACGTTATTATTATCTTTATCGATCATCATCATCAAGAACAAGAATTCCATTTTCATATAAAGATTTTTTTTTTGTTCTGTAATGTCACATTCATTTGTTCATCGTCATAATGGTCGTTTCGTTTCCAATTTTTTTTCGTTTCGTTTCTAATTTCACAATCTTAAATCAAATGAAAAATTTATGATTAAGGAATGTTAATATACCATGTAATTAATGGCCATTTGATTATTGTGCGTCGTCATCATTTGTTGTTGTTGTTAAATAATTTATTAACCATAATTATCGGTTATTATTATTCGATCATTATCAATGAATGGTGATTTTTCTGTTTTCATGTTTGACTTGACATTTCAACGAAAAAACTGTTCTTCTTAACAACACAAAATCATTCAATGACCATTGATTATCGTTGTTGAAAAACGTTGTTGATCTTTTTTTTGTTGTTTTTGTTAAAAATTTCATTCAACTTACCTTTGTTTTCATTGCCTTGCCNTTTTTTTTTTTTTTTTTTTTGTTTTCAATAATTATTTCGCTGTAAATATAGACCAAGGAAGAGAAAGAATGAAGTTTAAAAATGACCATTTGAATCAGTTGTTGTGAAGAAAAATAAAAAAAAACAGAAATGATCAATAAAGAATTGATTGTTTTTTATCAAAAATCAAAGAAGAAACTAATCGATATCATAAATGATGATGATGATGATGATTGATAAAAATCAATTCAATTCAGTGTGTGACCATCAAGTATTTGACTTTGTTTTTTTTTCATTCATCGATTTTTTTGGCGGTTTTTTTCTCTGTATCAAAAAAATAAAAAACTTTTTTCCAATCCAGTTTTTCATTGATAAAAATATACCGCATCGAAATGATGATGATGATGATGGTGAAAAGAAAAGAAAAGAAAAGAAATCATGCCGCACACATCGCTACATCTTCGTTATATAATTATCATCGACACAATAATAATAAAAAAACCATGATGACCATCCATCCTGCTGTGGTTGTTTGTGAATCATTATCGAACACAAACACAAACACACATAAGAAAATGAATGTGAAAAATTGAGTTTTTCATTCATTATTTTCTTGCCTTTTATTCAGATGATACAAACAAACAAACAAACAAGTAACTATAGCCGATGGCCAACATTGTTTGTTTGTCTGTATCAATGATGTTAACCGAATTCAACCAAACACTCCCACCATTGAAATAAACAAACAAACAACATAAAAGAGGCGAAATTCTCTCATTATCATTCTTATTTGTCACCATTTTGGTTATATGTATGTGTGTGTTTTTACTAATTGGAATAAACACATTCGAAAGAAAATACTAAATGCTTTTTTGGTTTCGTTTGTCCCTGTCAAAACATTTTTCTTTTTACACGAAAAATGTGTGAAAACAAAAAAAAAATTGGAAAAACTGGAATTTCGATTGAAAAGGAAACAATTTCAAACCACCCGTCATAAGCACACACTTACCAGAAACAAAAACAAGAAAAAAAATTATCAAAAATTGAATTTTTCTTCATTTTTTTGTAAACCAAAATTGATAAAATGATTTAATTTTTTTGTTCAAAATCCACCCACTTACTTCAAAAAAATACACCCAAGAAGAAGAATATTATCAGATTTGATTTTGGTAACTAGCGGTTAACTAAGTAAAGTAAAAAAAAACTTACCAAACTTAACTGGATTTGCGCAAGTGCAGCTCGAATTATCATTAGTTTGAATGATGCGCCGCCAAAATGAATGAATACCAGAATAAGTTTTTTTTCCAATAAGACATTCACATAGACATAATACTTGGTGTTGGTTTGAAAATGTTTCGAAACCATTCTCAGCAGCCCAAGCAGATTTTTGAAACAAAAAAATGTTTAAAGTTTCTTTCTTCCTCGATCCTAGATACTCGATAGATATTTATTCTGATCTGATCAGCCCGACAGGACCAATCAAATTATTGAAACAAAAATCAAAACAAATATTTTCTTCTTCTTCTGTTGTTGTTTTCGCAAATCTGTATCGTTATTATTATCTTTATCGATCATCATCATCATCAAGAACAAGAATTCCATTTCATTTTCATTTATAAGTCTTTTGCTCTGTTATGTCACATTCATTTGTTCATCGTCATTCTTGAATAATGGTCGTTTCGTCTAATTTCACAATCTTAACAAATGAAAAATTTATGATTAAGGAATGTAATACACCATGTAATTAATGGCCATTTGATTATTGTGTATCATCATTTGTTGTTGTTAAATAATTTATTAACCATAATTATCGGTTATTATTATTCGATCATTATCAATGAATGGTGATTTTTCTGTTTTCATGTTCGACTAGACATTTCAACGAAAAACTGTTCTTCTTAACAGCACAAAATCATTCAATGACCATTGATTTTCGTTGTTGATCTTTTTTTTTGTTGTTGTTTAAAAATTTCATTCAACTTACCTTTGTTTTCATTGCCTTGCTGTCATCATGATGATGATTGGAAATCAAAAAATTTCAATGATATCGATATCATCGATTATGATACGATTCATAATCATTTTGATTATAATACATGGTACAGGTAGGTGATCATTTCTCTCTACCTTTCGTTGATTGTAAAACCATCATTCAAATTTGAAAACTTTGAAAAAGGTTTTCAGGTAACATCATCGATGGAATTTGTTGTTTGTTTTTCCACGAAATTTTGAAGGAAATATGAATCTTTGATAGTTGATGATTCTCGTGACAAACCAGAAGAGAGATCAGACAACAAGAAGAATAAATTTCAATCTAGAAATTGAATGGATTCTTTTTTTTCTTGCTGGCTGTTTGTTGCTTCATTTCATCAATTTCATTTTTGTTTAAAAAAGATTCTTGAACGAAAAAAATCGCGTGACATGTTCAACAACAACCACCAAACAAAAAAAACACGAAAAATTTCGATTCAAAGTCAATCATCAATCGAAGAATGGGAGAGAGAAGAGGAATCATGTTCAATCATCATCATGACGGAGAGAGAGAGAGAGAAAAATTTCATTTTCTAAATAAAAAAAAAACAAAAACAAAAAAACGAAAATTCTTGAAAAAAAAGAAAAATTCTGAAATTCGAACGTTTGAAAATTCGAATGTTTTGTGTTCGAACGTTCGAAAATTCGAACGTTTTTCCATTCGTTTGAGTTTCGAATGTCCATTAAAAAATGTTTGTG